GGGGCAAATATTATCTTCCTCAACATCTACCACAATTCAGACATAGATATTTAATTTCCTGCTACACTTTTCCACCCAGATATTTCCACAAGCATCTCAAGATCAGTATTTTCTAAAACAAATTAATCATCTTCCCCGAAACCAGATCCTCATCACGTAGGCTGGAAACTTCCATCATCAAGTTTCCCCTTACTTGTATCTCAAATCTGATATATCTCTGTATCTGGCCACTCTACCACCATGATATCTACCTCTTACTCTGTCCCTGCTCTGCACTCCCCACTGCAGAACCCCATTCCAAATGTTTCTTCCTCCCAGACTGTTCTAAGAGTTCTGACTCTCAGTGATGCCAAGAGGTATCAACTCTTTACTTTTTGAACCATCTAGAAACAGGCTATGAACTTTCCAGAACTAACTTCTTACCTTTCCCCAACCTTCTTTCTGTACTTCCTTCTTGGCCTTTCTTCACTGAAACTTTATATTGAATGACTACCACAAGCCAGGAGCTCACAGTCTAGTGGGAGAGAGGGAGAATGAGAGATCGAAACACGGATCATTACAATTCATTTTAAAGCAAGAGCATCTAAGGAAACATCAAGGCTGACTTCCTGGAAGCCTCTTGGAGTAGGCATTGGTCAAAGTAGAATAAGCAAAGGTGCAGAGCAGTTTGGAGTTGCTGCACATTAGTTACTCAATTTCTAGTAGTGGAACATTTAATTCATTAATTTAAGGCAACTGTGATTTTTCTGTATCATAAAATGCTCTTAAAAGGAGCATAAGGCTGTAGTACCACATCTTGGCTATCACAGAGGGCTACCATAAATGTCACTAATCCATTTGTTCCCAGTTTTAGGGCTCTAAGAAGGAATGCACACCAAGTCAAACTTGGAATACATTAAGATCTGGAGCATTTCCTTTACTTTTATAGAGAATATGTCTATTAAATATTATTAAGTTACTATTAAAAAAATTTGCTGTCAAAATGGGTAAATTCATGAAATTTAAGAACGTGATGTTGGTCCTAGCCAGAAGCTATTCCTAACACAAAACTACTATAAATAATATTGATGGTAGATCCTCAAACGGGCCCCACAGCCACATCCCTACTACAAGTGACTTGGCTGTACATGTCTATCAAAGATCAAGTGTTTTGTGAAAGACAACCACAATCACCTCATACTTACCAAACACTTTGGGATATCCTATTGGATGAAAGTTGTCAATAAGGCCATCTTCTATGACCCTGCACTCCAATGCAAGGCCAGGAGCAAGGCAAAGTTCAAGTTTGAGGAAATCAAAAACAGGCAAAACAAATAATTCTTCCAAAAGCTGTGATTTTACATCTATTGTTTAAATCATTAAAACATTTTCCCAGGAGAAAAATAAACAGAAGGTAGTAGTATGCAAAATATTTCACTTTTTATTTTTATGGATAATTGTCATTAATACAGCAGGAACTAACATGATTACAAAAGATACCAAAAAATCAGAAGGTTAGCATTCAATAGAAATTAAAACCTGAGCTGAAGTCTGATCAGAATGACACCTGGCACCATTCTGAAGGAAGTTAAGAAACATGTTTGCTAGACTTCTTAAACAAAGGAGATACAACGCACTGACACATTAAGTGACTTTTCTTGTTGACAAACATTTAAGATAACCAGGGTTATCTAAAGCTTACGGTCTTGAAGGCAGAGAGGTGTGTAAATTGCAGATTTTTAGTTAGCAAGAAGCAAGCTAAGATTTTGTTGGTAAAATACAGTTTGTTTATCCATGTAGATCTACAAAGCTGGCTCAGTTTTTCAGAGCACAAGAGAGTGCCAAAAGAGTTCAAGGGCATTGGGATGGATCAAAATAAATCCACCCCAACTTCTGGAAAACAAGTGATATTGCAGTAACACCATCACAAAAAACAGTATTAGTAGAAACAGGAGACTTGTGGTCTAATCCAGTTCTCACTTTGGATTCTATAGCATGTCTTACTAAGAATTTGGTGAAAAACAGGAAGATTCTTACTCCTTTAATAACTGTCCATAAGCAGAAGTGAAAAAACAAAAGAAAGCTAACATAATGTGATGGGCCTTGATGATTAAAAATCAGTAAACTTGAATACATTTTAATATGCTGAATCTTGAGTCATACTTATAAACCAATGATTAATATACTACAAAACTTTACAAACATAAAATCTCATCTGTTGCAGAACTTCAAAATTAATGGCATCAATTTCTTCTCTCTTTTATTTAATTATTCCTTCCACAGAAAGTCCTAAAACTGAGTAATCATTGGCATACCTATAATTTCACAAATGTCATCAAAACATGATGCTTTTTGTCAAAATGATATAGAAGCAATTTCAACTGAGGTCAAGAATCTTAAATTCTCTCAAAACATATTTTCAATTCTTTGTGCTCCATGTCACATAAAAAAGAAATGAGGGTAGTTGGACTCATGTAGTTTCTCTCAGCCAAATAATGTCATTAACCTTCCCAATGTCTCCATGCCAGAAAATCTAGTCCTTAAGCGCTCTACTATAAAGCATCTCCAGTTCTAAAAGAGATAGCTTTTTTTTTTTACTTATTTTTTTTTAAGAAGGCTGAGGCAGTGCCCTTTACTTAGCGAAGACCAGCCACTGACTTCCTTCCTGCACCAGCTTTCCAAGAGGACACTAAATGCCTTTTTGCCCTGATATTTTTACCGCGGGTTTTACGGGGCTTCTCTTCTTTGTGTACCTTCACGTGCTGCCTCAGATGAGAGCTCTGGCTGAAGCATTTGCCACATTCACTGCACTGGTAGGGTTTTTCCCCTGTGTGGGTTCTCTGATGTTGAATAAGGTGGGAACTCTGGCTGAAACATCGGCCACATTCATCACACTGATAGGGTTTTTCTCCAGTATGAATTCTCTGGTGCTGAATGAGATTTGAACTCTGTTTAAACCTTTCTCCACATTCATCACATTTATAGGGCTTTTCCCCAGTATGGATCCGTCGATGCTGAATGAGATTAGAACTCTGAAAGAAACTTTTCCCACAATCAGCACATTTATGGGACTTCTTTCCAGTATGAATCTTCTGGTGCTGAAAAAGAGTTGAACTCTGACTGAAACTCTTTTCACATTCAATACATTTGTAGGGTTTCTCATCCAAGCTTCTTCTCAGTCTACTCAAGCCTGAGTCGAATCGAACAGTCATTCCCCATTTCTGCTGCTGCCGGCCTGTTTTGCGCTTGTTCTCACAGGCTTTTCCTTGGCTTGAACTCCGAGTAACATCCCCTTTAGGCTTCCCTAATCTCATGGTGAATAGCCAAATGTATTCACAAGAGAGTCTGCTGTCTTCTTCTGAACTAATGTCTCATTTTCTAGAACTACATAGCTCAGAATTTTCTGTGTGCAAAACAAAACAAAAAACAAATTACAGATATGTTAATTATTCAACTTTGATACCTCTTCAACCCATCAAAATCACATCCATGTTTAAATCAAAAATGTATTAAATACAAATAAAAACAAAGATAATTGTGGGGGAAAAATACATGCAAAATAATTCTAATACTTTCAGAGTTTGAACTTAGTAAATCTCACCAAATTTCGACTGAATTTACCTTTGGAGTTTTTGTCTGTTGGAACAGGACAAAAAAAAATGATAAGGTGCAATATAAACTTTTTAGACCTTATCAAATGTGTTTATCATTTTACAGGATTAAAACATGGACCCCAAATAAAATCTTATTATTATTAATTTTTTTTCCTTTTTGTCTTTTTTACTGACCGGTAACGGGATCGCAACCCTCGGTGTTGCACCCGTACCGGGGACTGGCAACGGGATCGCAACCCTCGGTGTTGCGCCAGCACCGTGCTCAGCCAGTGAGCAGGAACCGGTCTCCATATGGGATCCCTTGGCGGGAGTGCCGCCGCACTCCCAAGCGGCACACTCTCCAGTGCGCCACCGGGCCGGCCCTAAATCTTAATGGGAACAGAATAACACCAAAGAAGATCAAAATTTGTGTAACAGAATATAATTACGTTTTAAGTTTTACTCCCTGTGTTAAACTTCTACTCACTTACTGGTAATTATCTAATTAAGGTATCCAAATTGAAAAGAAATGACAAACCATATGACTTTATGATACCTTTCTGTTTATCCTTATTTGTTTAGCCATTCTAGTCTCACAGCTATAGATGACAAATGAGTTCTAATTCTGTAGCATAACTTGTTTTGAAAGTAGGAACTACTCTGTAAGGAGTAGTAGCTTTACTGTGAGTCTATTCAATAAATACTGAATGAGAAAAATCTCAAGGAAGAAATGTTTTACTATTACCTTTTCTAGATTGTAATGATCCAACAAAGAGGACAATTCTTTGAAAACCTGAAACAAGAGGATTGTTTTTAGAAAGAGAAATAAAAACTTCAAAAGAACTTTTATGAGATAGTGAAATGAAACTGAGCAGCAAAAGCCTCCTAGATAGAACACAAGAAATGGAGAAGGGGGAGGAAGTAAGTTTATATATAAAAATAGGATGGAATTTTTAAAACACTACATGCTGCAAAATTCAAAATTTCAAATAAATTAGTTTTATTTATTATAAGGTTATGTTGAGACTATTTAACATAATAGCCAAAACAAAGAACC